AGACAGCCAGAGGACAAGGGAGCACATCATCGACGTGTGGAAGTATTAGCAAGGACACTGGCCAATCATCGATGGCTCAAGCACAGAGTGAGGGGTTTACAGAAAGCACACACAAATAAACCGGTGCCAAGTTTGACGACCTGAGCATTACGCAGAGAAAGCGATAACTATGTTACAAGCCCGTGGAGATAGTGACGTGATGCATAGTGCATGGGGTATCTGCTACCGACGAAACAAAATCAAATAAGGTCAACTATCGCTAGGAAGGGAATGAAAGTGAACCACAGGACGATGACGTAAGGGTACAGAGAATCGGACAGTGACCAAGGTGAGTATATTTGAGGGGGGTGTGAGAGTGAGCGAAGTAACCGGGTCTTTTGAGAAGATGGTTCAGTGCACGAGCACCCACGATGAAAAGTCAGTTGAATGATCAGAAAAGTACAATCCAAGTTGCAGATGGATTTACCAACCTTGCAAGAACCCGCTACACCGCCCCGCCCCCCAAATTCCTCTGCGCGTTTGTCTTGAATGTCTGATGCCACCTTGGCTCTCATCCTCTGAGGATACCTTTCATACAATCACAGCTGTTAAGGACTTAGGCTTCAGGAAGCTTGCACCACCGAGGATCGACAGTGCAAAATGCCGTTCTCTATGATTCCTAACCAGTGCCCCTTTGGCGTCTTCTTTGTCATGGCTTCGGTTGGATAAAAGCCGTTTTCCATGACTACCACTCTGCACAAACAAGGGGACTGAACAACTACTATTCATTGCCCTCTAGACGGCGTAACTGTCTTATGTCTCGCCTCACTACTGCTGAGACCGTCTTGACGGAAACTGTCCATACTAATCCGTCGGTGCTTGTCTCACGATCAAGTACACGATCCATAGGCCAACGTTCCCGAGGCACATTTTCAGACACGATTAGTACTACGTCACAGAGGAGTAACTCCTTTTTCTGATGTAACCATTTTTGGCGTACTTGCAAGGATGTGAGGCATTCTCTCAGTCATCTATGCCAAAACACGATAGCGATGTAGTGCTCCTGTTTCCACCGTTTGTCATACCTTTCCCTAATGTTTGAAGCGGGAAGTTCTAATGCCCCACAACGAATCAACAGAAGTGTTTGGCGTCAGAGGGAGCTTGCCGCTACCATCGTTTGTCAGCGCTGCTAAGGAACGATTGTTCAATATTCTTCGAATTCAACAATCGTGGTAGCAAGTGAGCTGTCAGACAGGTGTTGCTGGTTGCAGACGTTATGTAACACCTTTCGTACCGGGCGGATAATCTTTTCCCATACTCCTCCTCGGTGACTAGAAGCGGGTGGATTAAAATGCTATCCTACTCCACGAGCAAGTATTTTGCGATTGGTTATCCATCGATCCCACATTTGAATGCAGTCATTTAGTTCCGTCATTACCCCGACGAATTTCGCCCCGTTATCACTATAAATATCGCTTGGGAAGCCGCGTTTGCCAATAAAACGGATAAGTACCGTAATGTGTGCGTCCACAGAAAGGTCATGGGCCACCTCGAAATAAACCGTTCTGGTTCGCAGACAGGTGTAAAAGCAACGGAAACGTTTTACCGTCCTTCAACCACGTTCCACGTAACAAGACCCAAAATAAGTTATGGCAGTATACTTGAAGGGAAACCACCCTTTCTCTGATTTGGCCTGTTGAAACGGGTACATATGTTGCTGGTATGGAACTGCGGTCCACCTTCGACAGTCTAGACATCTCCCGAGGACCCTATTCACGGCGTCACCACCATGTACAATACAGTAGCTTGTACGTATAATGCTCATAACATGAGAAGCTACGCTTAGTCTTTCCATTTCGTGATAGTGCCGTATGATCAAGTCCATAACGGGTGTCTGTTCAACAATATAACGGGGTACTTCGTGTCATCAATGTAATCGGTATACCCTAGACGTCCGCCCATACAAATGACATCCTTACGTAACAACGGGCAGAGACGTCGAAGCGAACTTTTCAGCGGATTGGGTTTGGATGCCGCAAGCTATGTCTGTAAACTTGATTTCACCTGTTTAAACATCGGACTGTATCATACAAACGACATCTAGTTTGGCTTTTTTCAATTCGCGCACTAGAAGCGGACCCACGGGATACAATGAGTTTGGCAAACCAGCGCGATGTCTACGTAGCAAAACTTTAAACTATATAAACCTAGTTGCGCACTCAGGAACTAATTGAGACTTGTCGGGACTTCTGGGAATATTTACAGCATGGTGAATCAGATACCACAGAGGCGAACTAGCCATCGCAAGCACTTCTAAAGGGATTTTGCCTGCCTAATGTCAAACATGCGGCTTTCCAAACAGTGTTCGCACTGTTTTACAAATGTCCAAGGCATGGCTGTGTTCCAAGTACCCAAGCGTTTGTACATAACGCTGTGTACACTGATGTGTACATAAGCTATCTGGTAAGGATCGCACATCTCGGGGGGAGGCATATCATGCTCTTACAACAATTGTTGCAATGCGCCAATTCCTTTCCGATGCAACATATTAAGACACTGACGTACCATTACTGTTGGCATTTCCTTCTTCTTAGTCCACCCAAAGGATTGGCCATGTACAATTCAATTTCTAGTAGGTACCTCTGAGCTTCGCCTTAAAGCCGCATAATATCTGCGTTTTCATAAGCCCAGGTAAATTAACTATAGCTGATGAACAACGGGTACTATAACTATGCTCATTCTTATCACTAACACGTGGAGCAAAACACAAACTGTCGACATCATGATACGCGCTAGTCGGCTAATTGTCGGGATTGTTTACTTGTCACGGGTTTTCCATGGCAATTTCTCTTCGGATGCATAGTCCAATGCAACCACATTGTTACACGAGGGACAATCGGTGAGTATTGTGTTCCAAATGTCAAACTTTACACTTTGTGCATAATGTAAGCAGCCAAGCGCTGGCAACCTTTTGATTCACGCGTACCCATCGAACTGGAGATATTCGCAATAATTTGCCACCCAAGCATTGATGCGTAGCAACAACACAATTCGCTCGGAAACACCGCACGCGCGTGAAATACGAATGAGCTCATGGAAAGACGGAACCTTTTATCCTGCGATGCACCGGCTCTCTAAGCGTCGTGCTAGTCAGTATCGGGCAGCTGGTCGAGATAGGGTCATGCAGATTACAAGGAGTGGATTTCAAGGTGCAGAATGTAGGTATCAAAAGAGATAGCGGTAGCCTCGCATAGTCTGGTGAGCAATACCATGGAGCTTACATAGTGATGTGAATGGCGGAAAAATGATAATACAAAAAGGAAGGTGTCGTAGTTCTTGATTTGCCGGGTTTTTGAGCACCCGCCGTGTGTTTTGGCTTGCGACACGCAATCTCACTGGTGGCATCGGTTGACTTTGAAGTTAGCCTCTGCGAATACGATCACTGGGACCGTCACCGAAGTGGAGGGTCTCGGTGTGGCTCTCGCCCATCCATGCACTCCACGACAGTAGTTCTCGGTCTCTGTATGTCATCGTAGTAGAATCTACTTGAGACGATGGCGAGGGTATCATAGGTCACGAATAGCGCAAAAGTGTAGTGCGCAACACATGAGGTAATCGCGAAATACAACCAACTTTTGTAAGCCCAATAAAATGGAGATTGCATGTGACTCTTCCATCTTAGACAAGTGCAATAAAGATACTACATTGCACCAAGTCAGTAGTTAATCATTCTAGAGTGAAAGTGTACCCAAGCGAGACTTACATTAGCGATGGAATAAGGATGACACAAAGAAGATGATGGAATGTGAGTAGGCAACTTTTCAAGTTTGCAGAGAAATGGTGCGCTTGGGTCAACGATTTTTCATAAGCTCAGTTAAAGTTGGCGAATGAAGAACGGGAATTACATCATTTCAGAAGGCTTGGTAGACAGCCGGTTAATATATGTATGATACACATTACGCTTTTGACACGAAATCTTCGTCAGGCGAAGTGAATTGGCTTAACATTGGCATTTTATAACGATTATGGCTAAGCTACACACAGAAACTAATCAATTTGCAGTGCCTGGTGTCCAGCCTTATTCCGGCCAGGTTGACAAGCATCGGTGGATGGATCCCAAATCGGAATGGTCTATCAACGCTCCCTCCACCAAATTCCCAAGTAGGAAAGACAAGTTATATCAGTGACGAAGTTCCTTGCAACGGACCACTTAAGATTGCTGATCACACATGTAACTACCCTCGGACGAGCAATTTCTTTTCTCCATCTGACCCTGACTGAAACAAACCACAGTGTACCGCTGTAATTTTTCATCGATGAAATGCAAATTGATAAGTCTCTGTGTGTATCTTAGCCATGATCGTTATAAAGTGTCAAGGTTAAGCTAATTTACTTCGCCTGAGGAAGTTTTCGTGTCAAAAGCGAGACGTTGTGTATAATCATAAATCTACTAACCGGTCGTCTATCAAGTCTGCTGAAATGATGACTTCCCGATTGGTTCCAAATATGTTCCAAAATATCGAGAACGGGAATTACAGTTCTAATCAATCTAACGAATAACATGTGAAACAGAACATGAAACATTAACATCATCATGTTAATCGCTAGTCAGTTACTTGCCGGGACTGTTCAGTTTCTATCGATGTTCCGGAGCGATCAATCTTCGGATGCATGGTCCAACTTGGATATGTCCACCAGATATATATATATATATATATATATATATATAGCTTCAGGTACTAACGAGACAATAAGAAATCATGGCGTAGACCAGTATTAGTCTCCTCATGTTGTTGTTTAAAGAATTGAAGAGATTTAACTGTCTCACATGATTATTAGTCATTGTCAAAGTACAACGTAGGCGCATAGTGGATCTTATGCAATGCATAATTATACAATTCTCATCCACAATGCATGTAAGTGACTGTCCCAAGCAAATGAAAAATTCCCAAAAGGCTTGCAAATTAACATATTAACAAAGCATGGTCAGTCAGATAACGAATACTAATTGCAAAACTCACCTTTAACGGTTAGATAATCACGCGAAAAGATGTACCGGTCGGAAGTACGTGACATCTTGACGTCGGACATCGCGTTGATGAAAAGAGTCAATATGTTTGGCTCATCAGGAGAAGTACTACTAAAAACTGTAATAAGGAAAACAAATTTGATAAAAATGAACAAGCAACAGCATGAAACAAACGGAAAGGGAGTGCAATTTAAGGTTTTCTGTGACAAATGACGCATACTAAGGCATGTGCCTAGATTGTTAACGTACTGATGAAGGAAAAAGGAGACTATGGCCTAGAGTTGTGGTGGATGACGGGAAGTGAGGAAAGAAGGAAGACATCACAGCACGATGCTAAAGCACAATCAAGCGGCCAGCATGATGTGACCTCTCAAATCAAACGCCCTAGTGGAATGTGCTCATCTCGGCCAATGAGACATAATAGACGTTGAAAAATATTACGTAGGTGGTCACGCTTGGGTGTTGGAACACACGTTGGATGCTTGAATTGCAATAAGCAGTCCCAAATGCAACCATGCCGTTCGTTCACTAGCTAGACTGCAGTCCAAGATCGATTCCTGCTCCTCAACCAGAGCAAGGAATCGTGGGTTGCCACTGGGTCACCTGCACACTAGCGGGGAACTCGGCCCACATGACTATCGCAAAGACAGAGAGCGCAGCGAACGTCGGTGTGCACTTCCGAAACGATAATACGGACATGGAATAAAAACCGCGACAATCTTCAACAATCACCTGTACCGTCAAACAAAAGATCAGTCATTTGAAACAATTGGTTCCCCTTATCAATTTGAGAAACACAACGAGAAGATGGAGTTAGGTAGATACATGCATTTCCAAACGTCCCTTTAGTGCCGATAACGGTAACGGTTTAAGTACGAATCTCGTAATTATGTCCAGGGCAATCTCAGAGTGCTTTTGAGCGCAAGGCGTCAGTTTGATATGGCTTCTCGCAACAGCCTCGGCGAAACGAAGAAAACGGGAATAGGTAAGCCGCAGCAAAACAGTGAACGAAGTAGTAACTACCATCCGGTGACCAGAGGTCAATAAGTGTCTACCGACCGAAGATGCTGGAGGCCTGTGAAAACGCGTTGTCTGAGCTAGGCATGCTTGTTGTGACGTCTAGCATTGGATCCGCTTTGAAACGTGTTCATTCTTTGGGGAAATTATAGTCTTATCGGTTCAGCTAATGTAACAAGCTACGCAGTCACGTATGAATTGCACGCACAGAGGAAGTTGGCGCCGATAGCCTGAATTTCCTTCAGTGGAGGCACGGCAACTTATGGGTTCGATCGGTAAGGAAGAACTCGACAACACAAGAGGTGTTCTGCGTGGCATAGATGAGATGCTTGGAAGTTCTCAGTACTGCAATATCACACTTAAAAGGGTACCTCTAAGAATATGCTCTTTATAGGCATGGTGGACACTGGATCGCTCAATCAGCCGATATGACTGTGAGCCTCTGTGGGTACCGTTTACAATCAGTATATTAGTAAGCATTTTTAGTTCGTCGACCAGACAATCGGTCAAGCAAATTCGCCTGGCACCGCTAAATAATGTCATCACAAACGTTCGCTTGCACCGCGCGGGAGTGAAGCTGATGAAATACCAGTACTGGCCGGACCACGTTGCATCTGTATAGACGGACTTTCAACATGTACATTTTCTCAATGGCTGATTAAAATATGCAAATAAGGGAGGTAGTTTAAGCGCTCAATTTCGCAAGGGACACTCCAGTTGATATGCGCATCAACTGAGCGATAAGAAAGATATCAGCAGTACGCCGGTGCGCAGTACCGACGCTTCACTGACGCACAATCACCACCTGCTGCACATGGACTAAGTCTACTGCAAGGGCCGCCCAGCACCTACGCAGGCTCGAACCCGCACCGCCAGATTACAAGACAAGCTCGTTACCTTTAGGATACGGGCCTGTGAGAGGTCTGCTGTTTTGATTAACAAAACAACAGTGTATCGTACACAAATGCATCGTTCTACCATCAGCATGAAGAAAACCGCACCTTCTGTTCTGCAGGAGTCATTTTTATCCACTGAATCCCTAAGCTGCAGCTTAATTCAGACGAAGGAGAAAAAGCCAAACGGGACCAACGCCGACTGTGTGTGCCAACACACATGTAACGGAAAAGCTCATTACATAGTCAGAACTGATAAGACGTAGAGTAACCCACGAATCGCTCATACTTTGAACAACACATAAAACGTCCGGGTCAATTCAGAATCTAAAACCAGAATTGAGGTACGTTGCTATTTTACAAATAATTATTTGTGCATGAGAAGGACACTCAATGCCCGTAAAATAAAGCGATAACTCAGATTGGTTAAAATGTCTTGCAAAGTGTTCGGCCTAACGTTTCAAGCGTTTTGACAAGCTGTGGATCTGCTGTCCACTCTCGTCACGTATGGTTTCGCTAACACCAGGTCTCCTGCTGCCTGCTTCCCGTAACAGACGGAATAACTTACGATGATTACCAACGGCAGCGGCTGTTTCCATTTTCCATGCACTATGAGACCACCAAGCCACAGGCTAGCACGTAGTTTTGCCCTGAGGTTTTTGCGAGTTTCATTGTATTCGCTTCCAGTCGGAATACGTCGGCGAGCATCTATAAGTTCCAAAGACTGCGTAGAGAGCCAATGTCCAGCTTGGCAACTTGATCTGCCACATGAAGACATAGCTGCTGGTATGACGAATATACAACCAGTGATATTCGACAGTGTTTAGTGGGCGCTTACTCAGCCCAGAGGCCAGCGTAGTTTGATAAGTATTCAGAACACCTGGTTTCGCCAGTTGGTTGGTGTCTATGCGGTCATAGCGATGTTGCGGACGTCCGGCGATACGCACCCGGTCAGCATACACAAGAGCATGATCGGTGTCCACGCTCGTGCTCCAAATCGAGCGACAGTTTTGGACGCAGTCACTCCATAGGTAACTGATCGCGATGTGATCGATTTGCGTTCATGCCTGGTCCGAAGCCGGTGGGTGCCAAGTCACTCTACTGCAGTGCTGTATCGAAAGTTAGTGCTTGTGAGGAAGAGACGAGCATTTTCACACAGGTGTAGCAATCGCACACCGTTATCATTACAGGAGCCTACACCATGTTGGCCGCCCAGATGAAACTCATCAGACGACAATTTTCCGAGTTGAGCATTTAGATCATCAGCAAATACCACGGTTTCCTTATCCGTAGCCGAAGGAGATGGTTAAGTTGGTGATAAAAATCACCTTTCACCAAACCAGTGTTGCAGTTGGTGGGGGCGTAGGCAGCAATGACAAACAAGTACCGTTTGTCCCCATGCGACTTCGAAGCCTGGAACGAACCAGCCAAACTAATGGTACACATCCCGATGTTGACTGAGATCCAATCGATCAAGTCAGCTTCAGCCCTGGAACGCAAAGCAATGCCGAAGCCAGTTTGATCCGCATTTAAAGCTGCGTCATTTCTAGACAAGCGCAATGATAATGTGCCGCCAGTGTCGCATATGGGTGATCGCAGGGTATGCATAGAGCTCGAATCATGCAGGTGGCTTTCTGATAAAGAGCAAATATCAATCGATAGGGTCTCTAGTGTGCGGGTAAGTGCTGCCTGTTGGCCAATCTGTTGCAAAGTGCGCACGTTGAAGCATACCAGTCTCAGCGAGACGCGAGGACTCCAAAAGGCAACGGATGAACTGATGTCCGCTTGGTTGAACATCAAGTTGTCGATTGGACTGGAGCAACGCCTTGCGATTGTGCGTGAGTTGATGCTAGGAGACAAACGACTATTGAGGCGAGACGGGAGAGGGCCAATAAGTGGGATTGAAAACGGGAGTTGGAGCGGGACGCTAAGGATGAAAAAGAGCAAGAGGAGAATAAGACGGGAAGCCCAAAGCAGTAGCATCCAAACCCCTATCCACCCTGCTCGATCCAGTAAATAGGGTGCTAAAGCATCAATAAATCGTGTGGAGGGGAGTTCATAGAGTTGTATTACGCGGGCAGGATACTTTCAGGATGCTCGAGTCTAGAGAGAACGATTGGGGATAACAACCAAAGGTTTTGGTTCAAAAAGCTGACCGCAAGGCAGGGGGATTTTGGCACTGGGCTACAAGGAGTCTGTTTTCTGGAGTAAGGAGCCACTTTTACTCCAACCCCCAAGCTGGAGGACCAGGAGATGGTCTGGCCTCTAACCACTGATGAATCTGGTATGAGTGGCTCTGGAGATGCAAAAAGCATCACGCAGCACAGCTCAATGGATCACTGAGGCACACAAACCCTCAGACCAGGTTAAGGTCCAGTCTCGTCGTGAAGGCAACGATGTCCAGACCATAAAATGTACAACAGTGCTATTCTCAAATCGATGCACCAGTCAGTGAAATACAACCAACTTTACAGCGAACTGATAGAGTTCAGAAACGATATAAAACAAAGCGAACAAATCCGTTCGCAATATACGTGGATATGTGTCAGAATGGGGTAATTCACTGTGCGCAATACACGAAAGCAAGGCTCGAGCTCGAGTCGTGCCTAGAATGTTTGACATGTACTGAGGAGCAACGAAAAGTTACTCAGAAGAGGTTCGCATGTAAGTAGTAGAGCTTCTAAAACTAGGAGACTGAGCCAAGAACTCAAGACAAGGTAGTATAGAAACGATGACATGCCTGAACAGGCAATACATCCGTAACAATTTCCATCACATTCCTCCCTGGAATTTCTCCTTGCTTGGTATTTCTTCCACAAATCTATGACTCCGCAAGCCGATTAAGTCTCTGCCGTAAGCACCATATTACCATGAATTCCGTCCTGCCAGATAAATCAAAAGTAATTAACCTAATATTCTGAAAACCAATTTTGGCATTAGCACGTCAACGACAGGAAGCTAGGATTACCGGTTACAAATGGCTCGGAAAACGTGTGATATAAAGAAGCACTTAGCTTCTTATCACTGCTACGTAGAAGTGGACCACAGATAAACACTAGACTAATTCGCGACAAGCCCATCTACTGAAATGCAAAGCAGGTGTTTGGATTCCCAACCGCTAGACGGTGGTGAATTTTTATCCTGTACGAACAGCAGTCGGATATTCAGTGACTCCTAAAGCATCTTTCGAAAGCGCGGAAGTGTCAGGGG